ACTAAAGATGGAAGGAGGTTTAGGCTTGGAAATCTCTTGCATTTAGCCAACCTTCTGGAATCTTTAGGACCCTGCCTATCTGTTCTCCATTTCAGTTAATCATCTTCACTCCAAAGTCCCTCCTCCGTCACCCTGAAGCCAGAACAAGCTTTGACGAGATGCTTCCAGGTATATATGGAATGTGGCGTAAGCCTGGTGTCCCATGAGATGGTGATGCTTTTGTTGGGCTCTAAGCGGCTGCTATAGGGAGCCTTCTCATTTTCTTTGTTTTGCCCTGTCTGAGCAATGGGAATAGAACAGCTGATCTTAGTCCCCTGCACAAGGAGCCCGCCACCCTCAGTGACCAGTGCTTAAACACCTGTGTATATTCCCCAGGGTTCTTTTTGAGGGAGGTTCACGCTGAGATTGAGAGTCCCTGGTGCTGTGTGTCACCCTCAGCGCAGTAATCCATGGCAGCTCTGCTGGGTTATAGTCCTGTGGCGTGCAAGGGCCACCATGCACACGTGGTACCTGCCCACTCATTCCCAAGGTGCAGATGTGAAAAGCAGGTGTGCTCATAACACAGCACCCCAACTGTCAGCAGACGAGGGCTTCAGATTGTAGCCTGGGCATTCAGGTCTGGGAACAGTGGGCCAGCGAGGCCTACATGGTTCGCATTATCCCCTTCCGTTCTCCTTTGGAGTCTTTGCCTTTAGATTCCTGTTAACCCCATTGTTTTGCCCAGGTTTTCCTGGATTGCCATAGAGAAGTTGAGTGAACCTCAGTAGTTGCTCTGGCTGTGTTGAAGTTGTCTTAATAAACTATGACGTATGTATGCAGATTAACCCTGAGGTCTGAAACGTTGTTTTCAAACACTAGGTTGGTTGGGAGATGAGTGGTAGAACTCATAGAACTCATTCGCTGTTTGTGTTACAGATGGGGTGCTTTTTGGTAGCTCTCTTTTTGTCTGAATGAATTTTAGATGCTAGTTTAAATTAAGCAGTTGAAGCACTGAGTGGGGTGTTGTCCTGCCCTCTAACCCTGGGAAGGACTGGTGCCTGGCTACACAGTTCTGCTGAGTGCACAGCCTGCAGCACCGTGGCAGAATGGAGGCTATGGGCATGGTGGACTGTAAGGGCTCCCAAGCCAGTGTCCTGGAGGCCCAGCTGGCTATGTGGACTGTCTTCTAGGAACACATTTCCAACGAGTGATCCCAGAAAATGGTCCTGCCTCTCAGAACCCAGAAAATGTCAAGAGACTTCTATTCTGTACTGGCAAGGTGTACTATGACCTCACCCGGGAGCGAACAGCACGTAACATGGCTGAGGAGGTGGCCATCACGAGAATTGAGCAGGTGAGCCAGGCGGCCTAGGCCTGTACTAGCCACATCTCCCTGCCCAGTCACCCCACTCTGTTCTGGTAAAAGGCTGCCAGTCTGGGACGGCCATGGAGAGCTGTCCCCTTCTGAGCCCAGGTCCTGCTCCCTTGTCCCCTCTGCCTGCTGGCCTCTGCTGTCACCCACTTGACTCAGCCACCTTGCTTTCCTGCAGCTCTCCCCATTCCCTTTCGACCTCTTGCTGAAAGAGGTGCAGAAGTACCCCAATGCTGAGTTGGCCTGGTGCCAGGAGGAGCACAAGAACCAGGGCTACTATGACTATGTGAAACCCCGGCTGCGGACCACCATCAGCCGTGCCCGGCCCGTCTGGTAAGCCTCTGCTGCCCAGGAGTCTATGCAGGTGGGCAGCAAGAGTCGTCTGGAGCAGAGCAAGCCCATGCTGCTTTGCTTAGCTCCATTCTTGGTGTTCATTGCAGGTATGCTGGCCGGGATCCGGCTGCTGCTCCAGCTACTGGCAACAAGAAGACCCACCTGACAGAACTGCAGCGCCTCTTGGACACAGCCTTCAACCTGGATGCCTTCAAAAACCTGGCATAGACCCCAGCTGAGCTGCCAGCCCCTCTCCATGCCCGTGACTGCCATGCTTCTCCATAAAGATAGTGCCTCAGCACTGCCCAGCCTCTTCCCACTGCACCTACACCCCCTGCTCCCAAAGACATGGGCTCTCGTCCCCTAAGACTTGCCTGGCCCTCCCTTGCCAGATGTCTTCCCCCAGGACTGTGGTGCTCCCCACTCTGTAGAGGCCTCTAGGGCATGAAGGAGGCAGGCTGGGGCCTCACTATGTGATGGTAGCCTGGGCCAGCTGGCAAGCCAAGGACTTCTGTATCTTCAAAGCTTTGTCTGCTGGCTCATCCTCAGCATCCCCAAAGAGAAGAATATACACAGCCACGAGTTTAGCCAATTGTGAAAGGGATGTCTGAGGTGGGCTGAGCATTGACTGGGCTTTCTACTCCTAGATGAACTGAGGACAGAGGCAGAATGATAAGTCTGCTCAGAAGACACAGTAGGGTGCAGAGGGGCAGCCTTGCCAGGCTGCTCTGGTGGTCTGTGTGTGGGCTGTGCATATCCACCTGTGGACTAGGGGCCTGGAGGCCAGGGTGTGCATCTCACAGTGCTCTGAAGCCCCCAGTCTGGAGCACCAGAACTCTGTCTTCTGCTCACATCTCCACCTTTTTCCTCCTTGACCTCACCTCCCTTTTTTTGCTTTTTCCTTTATTTCCCTTTAACAGAATTGGGACTTTCTGATGCATTCTTTTCTTTGCTGTGCCAAAGCAAGTCCAAGGGGTGAGAGGGGAGGGGCGTGAGGGTGGCGCATGGCCACGTGCCAGTTGCCTGTCACCACTTTGGCTCTTAATAGTGACAGATACAATTTATTTATTTTGATTTAAAATTAGTCATAACTTTTCACTGTATTTGGCTTGATCCATAAAGTAAGTTCTCCTTAGATCTGTCTGCATTGTCATTCAGCTTGTGTGTCCTCTCAGCCCAAGGGGAGCAGGCCGCTTGAGGAAAGCATCCTGACTCTCCATGCATGGCAGGAGTAGAGAGGGACCTCATCTGTTTAGACAGAAAGGTTCCAGATGGCTGCCACTGGGAGATCTCAGGGTTGGGTGTCTCACCATGGCCCCAGACTCCCAGAAGAACAAGGACCCATCACTCCCCAGTGTCTCTTGTGCCCTCAGGCCTCCTGCACACTATTGGACAAACTACACTTGGGATAGAGCTCTCTTCCTTATCACGCTCCTCTCAGGAAGCCCTCCCTACAGTCACTGTGAACATCATAGGGGAGGCCTGGGCAGAATTTAAGTAGAGCCTATTTTGTGAGCCTTCTCTGCTCTTGGATCAGAATCTTACTTCCCTGTTTAGTAATTAATAGTTTAAACTGATATCAATAATAGAAGGATACCAGGTTCTGGGGAAAATCAGAATGACACATTAAGAGCATTTCTGTACCTTGGGTTCTCCCATGCCTGAATCCACTTCTACCCGGCTGTCTTACTCCACTCTGGGGCTGGTGGACCCAGGTAAGCAGTGGTATTTACTGATGAAGGTGCCTGAAGCCTGAGCAGGTGTTGACTTCTGTCCTCCACAAGAAGGCCCAGTCCTCATCAGTGGTCCTTGAACCCCAAGCTTCAACCATAACCTGAGCCTGACCCTTTGTCTCCTAGCTGGTCATCTCTGTACCCATAGAAAGCCTCATTCAGAAGGGAGTTAAAAGCCACTTCCCTAGGGCCTCGGCAGGGAGATAGCACTGAATATGGGGTGCACAGCACCAGCCATGTGCACTGAGCCTGTAGGTTGATGTTCTGGGAAGAAGAGCCACTGTCCTGTCCCACGGCTGTGGCCCCAGTTCTGCCGATGTGACTGAGTCACAGTATCTGGCTTTCCTTGCTCTTGTGCAAATATGGCAGTGAGAATAAGTGCCCGACAGGAGTTCACTCCTCCTGTGCCATTTACTGCCTCTAGAACTCCCTGGGAGGCTGACTGAGCATCAGTGAGAGGAAAAAGTTGGGTTCTACATTTGGTGGATTATTGATTCTCATAGCAGTGATGATTTTTATTAGAGACTGTACCCTGGAGGGTTGATGCATACAGTCCTTTTGGGGTGTAATACACAAAGCCCCTTCCAGTCCTTGGTTCTGCCTGTGGAGGAACACGGGATTGAGTTCAGCCTGCTGGTTCTGCCTCTCAGGCACATCCCATTGGAAAGCTGAGCTCTTCCAGAGTCTCACGCCGAGATTGTGGCTTTAGTTTCTCAGAGTGTGAGCTTTCATCTGTGGTCTGAGGAAGAACTGAAGGCTTGGTAAAGTCTAGCTGGACCCAGGCCCAGTGCTGGCAGTCTGTCCTGCCTGGAGAGACTCACCTGAGTTCCTTGACACCTCCAGGTCAGGCCAGGGCCTGACACAGCCATCAGGTCAACAAATGGCAGTCTAAATCCTATGTGCCTGGGTAGAGAGGAAGCAGCCAGGGAGGGTGGTCTCCTGTTCTTGCCCATGATTTTTTTCATGACTGACCAAAAGCCAAGCTCCAACACTATGCTCAGAAATACTGCCATTGGCCACCACAGTCAACCGAGTTGGCTCTGGTGCCCTAGTCCATGGGGATTTGTTCATTAATCCAAAGGCTCACCTCTTCAGTTTGATTCCATCAGCAGATTGGTGGGAGAGAGATGGGCAGTCCCCTCCCTCGTGATTCAAAGCCTGGGAAACCCAGGAAGTGGGTCAGCAATGCATCAGGCAAACTGCAGAGTAAAGAGTTGAGCACTTGAGAGAACTGGGAGAAGCCAGATGATCACATGCCTGCCCTCCAACCCTACAAGTCAAGGTCAGTCTCCCCTAGTCCTCAATGTTAATGTTGGATAACAGTTTTTACCCCTATATTATGTAACTTGTTCAGTTGCTGTCAAGTCATAGCAGACTCAGCTGATCTTCAGCAGGTTTTCAGAAGCTGTAAACACAAAAGGAGATTGCCCATCTTACTCCCTTAGAGCAGCAGATGGATTTGAACCATTGCATTTGGCAGTGCAGCTCCTTCCCACTATGTCATCAACAGGTAGAGAGTTAATACTAGATTATGGCTCAGAGTACATTTTTACTTAGTTCAGCAATTGACAAAAATCATAGGAACATGTTCCTCAGTTGTGAGGGCCACAGGGGTGACCCAGATATGCTTTAGCTAAGAACTTTAACCGGTTTTCCCAGCAGACGATCCATGGTAGAGCAACTAGCGAAGATGTGATGTCATCGTATTTTCCCTAATGTATTGCTAAGCTTCTGCTCCTTCAGAAAGTATTCTCAGATGCCTGGGATTCTCCCCTTCCAGAGAGCTTTCTGTGCTGGCACAGAGTGCACTAGCACACTTCAGGGAATAGGCACTGTGTGCCAGCCGGGAAACTTGTCACTAAGCACCTGCCCTGTGCTGGGCACCTTAACAATGAAGTCACTATGGAGAAGTGAAGGAAATGGTGTTCTGGAGGATAGAGGCAGAGTGGGGGACAGAAGTAAATCATGAAAATGCAAGGCCAGCAGATGATTCTAACATTCATGTGGGAAGTCCTTCAAGTAACTAGCCAGAAGGCTAGCCTGATGAGGGAGGTGCTTCAAAGGTCCTTGGCAGTGTGGAGTCTTGCTCAAGAAAAACCATGATTCCTGTTAGTGTATGGAGTACTGCTGGAGAAATGTCACTCCTGGAGTTATGGAATACTAGAGAAGCATCTTCTCTGGCAGTGTGTGGAGGACTGCTAGGGAAATCCTGTTAGTGTATGTAGTACTGCTAAGGAAGCTTCTTCCCTGACAGTGTGTGGAGGACTGCTAGAGATAAGTCATCCTAGCCAGTTTGTGGAGGACAGCTAGAGATGCGTCATCCCTGGCAGTGCATTAAGACCTAGAGGAACATCATCTCTTGCTTTATGAAGTGCTGCTAGAGAAGCATAATTTCTGACAGTGTGTGGGGTACTAGGGAAGTGTCTTTTCAGGTTGAGTGTCAAGTACTATGAGAGAAGCTTTAGGGCAGCTGCCAGGTGGCCAGAGCACAATCTGCTACGCTAGGCTTGCTGAGTCTGTGGATTGTGGATGGAGGGTCATTATGCTGGGGGTTTTAAATGTCACTTAGGGGGAGAGGAGGAGAGATAGAGAGTGCTAAGACCAACCTACCCAGTGCTTAGAGGCAGACTTCCCCCCTCCTTCTTGGCCTCACTCGCTCCCTGTAGGATGTCCTCTTGAACCTCTGCTCTTCCCCCATATTTGATCCAGTTTCCCTGCTTTTCTGCCAGCTGATCCAGCTCATCTCACCCCAGGGCTGTCTGGGCTGCTCTGTTATTGATCCTTCTCAAATTCTCAAACTGATCCTCTCCTCCAATTAAAGATCATAGCTCATGTTCCTTCTGGGATCCTGGAGCCTTCCTTTACCTTCACTGGACCTTCTGTCAGACCTCCACTCCACAAGACTTTAGGTAGAACATAGAGAAAGATTGTATTGGTTTGCTTGTTCTTCTGCATCTCCCCTTTCTGCCAGGCCTGTTCTTGCTCTTCTAGTTCTTTGCTGGTTGAGAGAGAGGAGTGTTTGCTTGGCTGCCTGGCTCGCACCAAAGCCTAGGCTCTGCCTGACTGGCTCTTGAGTCCAAGGATTGAGTATAGAACCTGGTTCCTAGAAGAAGGGCACCCTACCACCAAGATCTTGAATGAAAGCAGTAATGTTTAATTATTCCCTTTTCTCTGACAAGGAAAACAAAAAGAAGAGAACCAGAAGAAAAGCCAGCAACAAACAGAAAAGTGGCCAGTGACTGGTCCTAAGTGTGAATGTGTGTGACCACAACAAGCTAGGTGATCCCAGATGTTTTCCACACCAAAGGAGGCTGCCTGAGCGCCCTTCTAACATTCACTCATTCACTGAACCCCTCCTCACTGGGCACTGATTGAGAAAAGAGGAAGAGGGTCACCGCTGTGTGTTTGAGGCAAGTGGGATGGATACACAGAGGCCTGGGATGTGTACAAGGTGACAGCGTGTTGCTGGGAGACCTGGGTTACCAAGAACTCACT